TTCCCTACAAGAGCCACTCCTTGCTGAGGCCTTTTGTAAAGCTCCAAGAAAAGCTAATCACAGTAAAGTCATTTTTATCCTGCTCCAGAAAGCCTGGCAGGGCAATGGCCTAAGCTCCTAGACCTAACTTACTGGAAAAAGTGCTTTATCAAATAGGTGCTCCTTGTTCAAGTGAACGTGAATTTATATTTAACGTAAACAAGCTTAACAGACAGAGTAGCAACAGCTGCTAAAATATAAGATACCAAAATACCTGAATTCTGACTCCTTTAAGCTTTTAGAGAGCCTGGGGGGCTCCTGTGTCCCATGTTTTGTTTTGTAGCCACAGCTGTAGCAGAACCAGGTGTTTGTTTGTTTGTTTGTTTTCCTAAATTGTAAAAGCTCTCAGCTGATAGCAAGTGTAATGACCTTTGCAGGACAGTCCCTTTACAGTGACATTTCCTTTATATTCCCTGCTGTGATTCATGGACAACACCTCAATTTTGTAAAGGCTTTAGAGATATAAAATTAATCTGCTTTATTTTAAATTCTCACTATATTTTTACCAGCCCCAGGCAGCAGCAGCTGCAGGCTCTTGCCCTGGAGGGTAACCTCTGTTTTGCAACAAACACTCCTGCTCTTGCAGCAGTGAGTCAGACACTTGTCCTTTCTAGCAATCAGTGTAGCATTTCTGCACCCTAGGGTTCCCAGGTTCTCAAGCTTTCTCTATCAGGCTTTATTTTGATAACTGGCAGTGCCTGAATTTCAGAGAGAGTTTTCTTCAAAACAAAGAGCCATAAAGAAGCATGAATATAAAAAAAATGATGTGACCTTGTGAATTTGCTGTCTGCATTAACTGTGTGCCTTCCATGACACCTAGAAGACTGGTTGTAGCTAGTGGCATTGCTCATGCTTCTTTCCTCTCCAGATGTTTGGTTCATGTGAATATATTGCCTGTTTATGCCCTACAGACTGTATGCTAGGAGTGAAATGTGAGCAGCAGTGAGACAAGTTTTCTAACTAGCTCCTCCAAGAAGTTGGAGAGCAAATCTCCTTCTGTCATGCCCTGCTTATATGCACAGAGCACTTCATGTTGTGTTCTCAGGACACCCACAAATCAGGAGCCTCCCGTATATCAGATCAATTGCTCAATGCAGATGACATGGGTTAAATGCATCTGGCACTGGTCCTTCCATGTGCAGAATAGTGGGAGCCTATCCCATGAACTGTGCTGGATGCCTGGCTTTATCCTTGCTTGTTACACATTATATACAGGAACTGATAAATTCCATGATGAATAGAGCTATAAGACTATATAAAATTTATTCAAAAACTGTTTTATTAAATTGAAATGCAAACACCATTGCAAAGAGTTTTTACAGTGACAAATGATTGAAAAGTCCATCAGAAAGCTACAGACATCAGTGACAATATTGACCTTACAAGTGAAATTACTAACAAACAGGTTTCATAGAATCATAGAATCATAGGCTAACAGGTTTGTTTTTAAGCTAGCATTTTCAATATTAAGAACTTAAAAATACATACACTTTAAAGCATTGTCCTTCAAATACACTTAGAAACAAAGAAGAATTCCTGAGCAGCTCTTTTTATACCAGTATTTTCCAACCAATGTATGTACTGTATAGTAAAGGATGTACTTGCTATATTTTTTCAATTTTAGCAATTTACAAAACATTTGGATTTGATTCATAGAATAATTGTGCTTCAAGTCATTCTGTTGCTACAGTAATGACACTACAATAACTTGGACGTTCCAGATTGCCTACAAGTTCTGAAAACTGTAATGAAAAGATGCCCAGCTTTTATTATGAGCCTAAGAATGGGATGGTTTACGCAAATGGAAAAAATTTTGCTTTAAATATTAGACCCTCTCTGTCTTGGAAAGTACTTTGTTTATTGTGCATGTTATTCAGACTATGATTCATAAATGCTTCTTAAAGAGACCTGCTGATATTATTCATAAAGCAGGGTTCAGGCAAGGAAGTTCCAGAGACTTTCCCCTACACTTATCAACATGCCAGAAACTTGAGCAAATGCACATTATTAAGTACTGCTGACATTTTTTTCTGGGCAGTGCTTATTCAGACCAGCACCCCCAGTATTGCTCTATTTTACACATTGGATCAACATTGGCGTACACAACATAAGCTTAGAAGCCCAGATAGTGTTGAGTATCTCTGAGCAGTATAACACATACATGGAACTGATAGTTCTCTTATTATAGATGAAGAATGGCATTTGTAAACAGAATGAATAAAAATTAGTTTCTAAGATGAAACATGAAAATTAGCAAAGCAGCCTAGGAGCTCCCATCTGAGTATGTCTGGACAGTAGTTTTCTTTCAGAGCAAAGGATAGGTGGGTGAGAATTAAGAGTAATGTTCATTACGAATATTAACAATATGGTTTAACATCATTGTATTTCCATATATATATATCAAATATATAGAAAAAAGTGCCCATTCCTGGACATGTACCATGTCCTGAAATATGTAAGAGATACTTCATACAAGTGATCCCTACAAAGATTTTCAGCATCCTCTAAAGATCTGCTCAGTGTTATATGACCATAAAACTGATGACTAAATAATCTTTCTTGGAAGTGAACTATTTCCATTCTTATTGTTGTCAAAATGAGGTGAAGATACTCAGCAGCTCACAAAAATAGACCCAGAAGCAGCACTGTCAAAAAACAAAGTCAAATAAAGACAAAGTCCAAGAAAAGCAGCATCACAAAATAGAACAGGACATTAATCCTCCCTATGAGAGAGAGCTGTGATTTTTTCTTATTTCTAGCTTGTCTGTGCACCACTATCTTGCTGAGCTTTTTAACACATGGACTGTTTGGAAAAGGCTGCACAAAGATAAAGTATTTTTCTGTTAAAAACTTATATGGGAGAAAATGTGTTTTATGCCTGACTTGGTAACTCTCAAGATTTATCACCAAGACAGCGACTATCTGATTAAAAAAATAAATTAAGTGTTGGATTGTTGCTGGTACAGACTAAACAATGCCTAGAAATGTCAAGAGGGCATTTTACTGGGTTCACAAAGTCCTTTGGCTCTTGTGGCTCATAGATCTTTAATAAGTAGAAAAAAATACTTAAGAGTGACAGGCAAATCTGCAAGACAGTGCAAATGGAGGAAAAAAAGCCTCATCTATAAATCTCTGACTAAAATTGAATGTTGTTTTTAAAAACAGTTTGGCCACACTGTTCTTTTTTTTTTTTCCTTAGACATGTAGGAAATAAAACAGCAAATCAAATTTAGTGTCTGAGCTCTTCAAGTACTCTGATTGCCAATGGCCAGTACCATATACTTGGAAGGAAATCCTGTAATGCATAAGAATGAAGAGACCAACTCTCATGTATAGGATTTTTTCCATTTCTTGTATAGTAGCTGATTTCTCGTAGCTGATTTGAGTATTTTGCCAACTGGTTAGGCTTTAATAAGGCCTCCTTATTTTTGTGGACTATATCAGATAACTGTGGATATCCCCCCTTTTGATATTAAAGTCTATTTGTTTCTCTTCTATTTTCTTACCCACAATCTCATTTATCACACACTCATTTGGCTGCTTTTGCCTCCACTTTCTGTCCTCCCTCCCTTGCAGGCCATACGCATGCGCAATGCCTGCTGATTTCTCTAATTTCCCCATCTTTGAACATCCTATGGTGTTCCCTGTGACTGTGCTCCCGCTCTTCTGCCACATGCACCCACCATGCGCTGCTTTCCCTCACTAAGATCTCTCTCCATTCTCATGCATTATGTATTTCCATATTTAATTTATCTTTAATCTCCTGCTTGACATACACAGAAAAGACAATTACAAACGTTCCTGTAATTGGTTCAAAAGAGTTTTCAAAACCGGGCCACAAGATTGTTCCAGCTCAGTGTAATTCAGACACATGTCCACATCAACTGGAGTCTGAAGGAAGTCAGTGTTCTGGTTTTAATATGAGCGTTTGAGATGGTTATGAGTTGGGCTAGTGTCCATTTTCATTCATTTAGAGACAGAATTTGAAGCTTTACTTCTCAGGAACTCAAAACTTCTTTCCGGATAGCAAATGTTGACAAATGATGAGTTTAGTATTTGTCAATCTAGAGAGAGAGCTCAGTTTTTTCAATCCAAGTGGGGTGGGCACAGAGACAGCTCCCAAATAACTTGTCAGTGAAGGAGAGGGA